GGTCGGAAGGGACAACGAAATGATTACCAAAGGATATAAGCAAACGTTGAAGATAAGAAGAAGGTTAAGCTTTTCTATCTCTAATCTATCTACGTATTCCACTCTCTCTCTCTAACTTACTCGTTAGAGGGTTTTTTCATTACTGTAAGGACATTCATTCTAAACCTCTTTACGCTTTATGTTATTCACTGGGCTTTAGCTCACTGCTCATATATATATGTAGGTGTACAGGCACCAGATCGGAGCTAGGAGCGTCAGGGTAACTCCAGTTTTGTCAAGCCAGCCTTTGTGCCTCACTGCGAGGTTCCGAGTTGCCATGCTATGGCTTGGGGGGGTTTTGTTTGTTTTCCCCCGCCTGTCTTCATACTGTCTAACTGTTCCGTATAGACTGAATGTTTACTGTACTGTTATCAAGGGATTAGGTCCCTGTACTGTGTGATTGTAAATTTTGTATAGACCGTACTGTTTTGTACAGACGGAATGCTTTCTGTACTGTTTATGTATGAATGCATGAAAAATCTTTTTGGCATACAGACTGTCACAGCTCATTGGACATTGTTTAATTACTGTATTGGCTTCCGCCAGGCCCTGTACTCTGTTTTACTGTATTACTGTTAAGCAGGCCTTCGGTAATCTCGGATTACTGGCCGGTTACGGTACTAAACCCATAGGGCCGGGTTTGGGTCGTGACACACTTGCTACCATACACTCACAGTGGAGGCAACTTCATATCTCCATATGCAAGAAAGAAGAGGAAACGGAGGTGACTTGTCACGTAGAAGTAGAGTTGTTTGTGAACAAGTTTAATGAAAGTGATAGAACCATGCGGTTGGAGCTTTTGAAGAAGTTGAAAGAGATTGTATATCCGGAAAGCACATTTCTTGTTGAGCCAGAAGTGAAGCCCAAAACACGTCCTCGGGATCATAAGAAGATGAATGTTTCTACCCGTCGTGACCCGTGTGCATTTGAGTTGGTGCAATCTGGACATGATTCCTTCTCACCTAGGGACACTCAAATCACTACATTAGCTTCTACTCTGCAAACCAAAAAGAAGCGACCTGTTAAGGGAAAGGAGAAGGTGAATCCGAAAGGGAAGGTATACATTACTAGAACAGTCAAACCTGGTGCATATGTTGATGCTTTCCCTTCTGGGTTGAAACCATACATTAAGTTTGTCAAGGATGTAGCTGCAGATGGGAATTGTGGTTTCAGGGCTATAGCTGCTTCAATTGGTCATACAGAAGATGATTGGGCTCAGGTTAGGCGTGATCTGTTGGGTGAGCTGCACACACACACACACACAAAGAGGAATACATTACACTTTTTGGGTCCTACGAAAGGTTTGAAGAATTGACAAGCATATTGTCATACTTTGAAAACAGTCCTGGGTACACACATTGGATGACTATGCCAGACATGGGACATCTAGTTACATCGTGCTACAATCTTGTGTTATACCACTTGTTATTACAGCAATGTCTCACCTTTTTACCTCTTAGAACAGTGTCGGTACCTCAACTTGATAGACGTGAGATTGCCATTGGGTTTGTCAACGGAAATCATTTCGTCCAGGTATAACAGAAACTTACGTTTGTGCATGTACAAGAAGTTATGAGGTATGACCACTAACTCAATTGATATTTGGTGTAGGTTTTGTTGCAGCCAAGCCATCCAGTTCCTCCTATAGCCACTAATTGGTGAAAATACCGTCACCCTTGCGCTGTCGACTGGGATGATGCATATGTGCGTCGCATTCAACATTTCAAGGACATTATTCATGATAATGTAGCTACTTGAGAGACATTTGATGTTGTTGATGTCGCATGACGCATGTATGCATTTGACAATGTTAGAATTATGGAAGAAATTAATGGATGTGTTTTTGATGTTGATGTGTTCTGTTTTGCAATGTGGATTGAATGTTATCGACCATTGTTACCATTCCATTGTAATAAGAAAATATCATTTACAAAATCAACGACCATTGTTACCATTCCATTCTAATAATAAAATGTCATTACAATGCCATTACAATACCATTGTTGCCATTCTATTCTAATAAGAAAATATTAACCACTGTTACCATTACAACAATATCATCTTACAAAAACACCAAAAAAAATTCATCAACTAACAAATAACATGTCACAAATCAGTTGTATGCCTACGCCTAGGCCTACGACTGTTTGTCAATGTCGAAGATGGAAAGCGACCTCCAGTATAACTAGGTCTAGCAGAAATAGGTCCAGCTTCGTCAATGTGCTAACCTTGAAGGACATGCGTCATATTCTCGATAGCCTAGTAAAGTCGATAAGGATGTCGAATCCCCTCCTCATAACCAGTGTCAATAATAGGATGTGAAATCTGCAGTGCATGTGCAATACGCTGCATTTGAAAAGACTATCACATTTTAGGAAACATATCAGAAAATAAAAAATAAGTTACAAATGCATAAGAGAGGATAATATATTACATCGGCATGTTGGCTAAAATCCTGATGGTCATGGACACGCGGTTCATCAGTGTGCTCAACATATAGGTGCGTAATATTCTTATACCAATCCATGTAACCCGGTACACATTCCCAAGGCTGACGAATTGGTGTGCTCCTCCGTTGCTCAGATAACACGTGGTTATCCCAAGCCTCCCAGATCCTATCTAGGTATCTATACATGACTGTATATCGTGCAGATATGTTGCCTTGAGCACCACGACTGGGAGCTAGCGGTGCATCTGGGATGGTTTAAACCCTACCAAACTGCCTCAGAACTCTATCTGGATGGTAGGGTTCGACAACATCTAAGCACTTTAAGCATCCATGGTAGAATGTAACTGGGTTACATGGATGCCGGTCTCTGCAGCTATGGTAGGGATCCCAAATAACCTGTAAACGTAAAGTGTTTTTGAATTAAAGTATATAAAGGGTAAGATAAATAGAAAGTGTTAAAATTATCTCAGGATGAGTAAACTTACATCAGTAGCTACCAAACTGTCAAGCTCGGCTCGAAAAGATTTCAAATGATCAATGGAGGAACCCGCCTCTCTCCTAGATGCCCAATGGTATACGTGTGGCATGTCTTCATTGTAGCCCATGTTCTGGTGAGGTCGGAATGCTCGGAAGTGCTCATAAATCCACACCTCCAAAAGAGTCATATGACCACCAATCTGCTTAACCCCGGGCCAGCTAGCATACCCCAACTGTCTATATAAAAATGCTAATGCAGCAGCACCCCAGATATAAGTATAAATGGATCCCAAATCCACCAATAAGCGAAGGTAAACAACAGGAACCCTGCCGTCACTCTTGTCACTGAAGAGTGTACATCCCAACAGAAACAACAAATAAGCTCTAGCAGCGCACTGTATAGCCTCATCGGGGTCTGAATCTGTGACACCAGCAAACTGACTTCGCAGCCACTCAAGCCTGACTGAATTGCCACTAGTAGAAGAAACCTCTTCATGTGCTGCACGTTCAGTAATCCCCAAGCAATAAACCAGTAGTGTAACTCCATGATGATCTGTCACATCTGGTACGCTAACTGATTTGCCTACAATGGGAAGGCCAAGAATAATGCCAACATCATCTAGGGTCAAGGTCATCTCACCAACTGTCATGTGAAATGTGTTCGTCTCAGGTTGCCATCTCTCAACAAAACTGGAGATTAGAAGCTTGTTGACGAACCGATAAGTGCAACGAGCTAACTGTGACAGCCCAGACTACTCAATAATGGTTTTGAATCTGGTATTGTTGTCTACTGACCACCATGGCCATGCAAGGATCTTCAAAGAGTGATTATGACACTTTAGGGGCCCTTATTCCTATAACACAAATAATATCTCATTAGAAACTACCATACAACACACACAGGAAAAAAAAAATTCATATACAAATGAATTTCACTTCTACTCAGGAATGTTTACCTCCCCGTGCCAAACAGCTGCAGCGACATGACTATTGAAACTCCGTAGTATTGATGGATAAGTTGGTCCACTTGGAAAAGCATGAGTAAGGTCCTCTTCCTGGACAGGAGGAGAATCAGGTAAAGAGGCATCCTCCACAGCAATGTCAGGCATATCATAACCTTGAACTCGTCTTTGGCTTCGGCTCCGACTTTGATTGGCACTGGGGATATCATATTCTACTGAAACTGGATCACGACCTCAACCACGACCTTGACCTCATCCTCGCCCACGCCCTCGTCCCCATTCACACAACCTACAATCGGGTAAGCAACCTATCCTAGCTTGGAATGGTCACTATGGATTCCGAATATGCACTAGGTCGAATGGTCAAAAGCCCCGGTAAAAACTGGGGTTTGTGCTCCCATCGTGGCAGAGCCCGTAACCGGTCAGCCTTATGGCACGCTTCTCAAAGCGAGCCTCCGACAAATCGTCCAGGAATAACAGATGGCAAACACGGTGTCCTAGGTGCACCAATGCAAATGTAATGCAAAGAAACACATAAGTGTAATCAAAACAAGATATCATGAGTTCGAATCAAGCTCTCTAAATCCCCAGCAAAGTCGCCAGAAACTGTAGACGTCCCCGAACGTCCCGGGAAAAATCTTGTTTTGTTCGTTGGGCTCACTACAGTTCGGACTCAATGTCACGGTCTTGTATCTAATCTCACAGAGCGCAATGCATGACCGATGAATCATCAAAGAGTCCAAGTCCGGCAAATCGTTTTGAAAAACTGATTCTTAGAAAAAAGTGCCAAACATGGACTGCTTTGCCAGATATAGAGTCGCCACCTAAATATTTTATTTTGGGGAGTTTAGGAAACCCTGACTCGTGCCTAAGGCCACGTGTTCGTCATCACCAAAGTTGCCTCGGCTCGGGAACTTGGGTACAATTGGGGAAGGTCACTTCGTGAGCACCCCTGCTCGCCCGATCAAAGATCGGCCTCTACTAACCATGATATCGAGTTTTGAAAACATTATGTGCTCTTATTCCGGTTATTAGCCTAGAATTACTATGTGATGCACACAATATACAAGTATAGACTGGATTGCCTAAGTTGGAACAAAGCATCGCATATCCGTTTATTTTGAAAGTGGATTGAAGTTTGCTACTCGCAAGTAGGCTAAAACACGGGTTTCGACGAATTATTCCAACTCAAGCAACCCAACCTTCACCCACAGGCATTCAGGCAGTTATATCACATAAGCACATAGCCTCATGGTAAGCATCCTATCATGGCAGTCACTCACACGCATGCAAGGATACTAAAACATAAACACTTACCGAGTACTCCGAGCCAAAGAAAGAAGCTAATTAGAAAACATGTATGAATCCAAACTATGTTGAGATGCCTAATGCAACACATGCAGAAATGCAACTACAATAGGCATGGCTATTCTAAGATGACATATGAGATGCAACAATCGATACATGTATTCAACTTGGAATTGAAATACAATGCAGTTAGCATGATGCGCCGAGCCCAGTGCATGCAAAACAGATGAATGGATGCAAACATACGAGCATAAGGATGCTAATTTAAACGTGCCCTAAAACTAATCATCATAAGCTGGTAAATAAAAGGGAGAAAGACGTGGGGTTGGAAGACATACATCACACACACGCACACTTATTACAACATTGCCCTCCTCGGAGGGTTCGAATAAATAATACACAACCGAATGAATAACGAATTACAACTAATTATTACACAACCCTAATTAATTAACAAATTAACTAAAATAAATAAGCTAACATGCAAAACACATGAAATGGACTGCCTCAGCTCGATCTTGAATGACAAGGAATGCATGCATGCTCGAGTCGCCTTGCCAGAAAATCCATCGCGATGCCCCGATTTGCCTCTATTTGCAACTAGTCCCAGAACACTGTACAAAACTCCAGAAGGCTGAAACTCCACCATGCTATAGGGCTACTATCGACCAGTTTTTGCTACTGGCTTCCGGTGTGCTGCAACAGAGAGCAAGAAAGGGGCATAGCAAAGTATTTTCAACATATGTGTGCATGACCACTCTCCCCGTCATTGCATAAGCTCTAGGGAGTGTAGTCCTTGATCCTCATGCCACCAATCACGCATCTCGATGCATGATGGTCGAGGAGTCGAATTGCATGACTCAATGTGAAATTGATGCACAAATGAACACAATAAGGCCTAAACTCCATCATGGGTAATCTGGAGTGTCGGCGACCGAGAATCGAGGCACGTTTCGTCACTTGGAATACGAAACGTCGCTCGTTTCCCATGTTTAGACTAAACCCTACTCCAAACACAATGTAATACACATGGCATGCATGAATGCAACTCTAACATGCAACCTGAACATAATGCCACTGAATGATGCAAACATGCAACTAGCATACACAATGCTATGAACTAAGAATGGCATACTCAATGCACATGAAAACTATATGGCATACGCAATGCGCACATGGAGACTAACAATGAAATGATCAAAGCATACACAATGCAATGGTCAATCATGCAACAACATGGACTAAATGGCATATACAATGCAAAATGGAATTAAATTAAAATGAATGGGCCTCAGCCACACTCAAATCAGTGGCCAAACATGATGAAATTAGGCAACGAAAACACATGCAAATATGCACAAATGTAAGGGACCAAACCTAAGGCACCAAATGCAACTCTACCAAAGCATGGCAAGGGATGAAATATGGCATACAATCACACATTTTTCAGCTCTGAAATGACATGTAAGATGGTCTCGAATCATGTAAACACCTCACACAATGCATGCTAGATGGCCTGGATACCGAAGCTAATGAAGTGCATTACACTAGAGGTACACAAAGCAATGCTCAAATGACCCAACCAGCCCAAAACAGTCCCTATGCAGGTCCAAGAAAGTGGGAAAATGGTCTAAAATGATGGCTCAAAATGCATGGAAATGAAGCTCATGCAATGGCCCATAAATGAGGTATTTAAGCACGACTCTCAAACACATTTAAAGAGTGGAAAACATGAGAATATGACATAAGTATAGGCTCTGAAATGACATGCTCAATGGCCCCAAAACATGAAAACACCTCAGTATAAGCATGCAATAGGCTTCAAAACTCAAGGCTAGGCAAGGGCATTACACTACAACCATGCATAGCAAGCATCATTCAACCACGAGGCATAAAAATATAGCTAAGGCAGTCTAAAATATGCACAAAATTAGTTTAAGGCATGGCCAAAAAGTGCTAGAATCAAAGACCAAAATAGCATGCAATACAAGCTAGTGAAGAGGGTTTACACTACAAGTATATGAAGCATTCAAGAGGTCACTAAACCAGCAAAATTAAGAGGTATGACATGCCAAATAAAGCCCAAAAACTCATTGAAACATGGTCAATGTATGCAAGAATGACATGCTCCTTTGATAGGCTATGAAGAGGGTTATTCTACACATGCAAGATGGACACCCAATATGGAAAAACAAGTTCTGGAAAGAGCCTATGAAGGTCCTAAAACTCACCAAAAATGGCCTGAAACATGGCTTGGAAGCATGCAAATAAGGGCTCCTTTGTTAGGCCAAATATGCTAGAAATCAAAAGAAAGAGAGAGAGGGTCACCCCTCTCTGATTTTGGCTTTCAAAAACATATAATAACCACTGAAAATCTGCTGGATTTCAGTGGTCAAAAGGGCAAACAAAGCTCAAAATAAAGGCCTTAATGCATGGCTCAAAACAAGGTGAAATGAAGCATGCAAGGGGGTAGATGACCCCCAACAGGAAAATGATCTTAAACAAACATTTTAAGGACCTCAAAATAAGACTTTTTTCAGTTTATACCAAAGCTCAAAAATTCTTGCAAGTATGGCTAAAAGATGGAACAAAATAAAGCTCAAAAGAGGGAATAGGGTGTTACCCTTGTAGCTCAGCAACTCCAGGAGCTTATGGACCAAAAATGCAGCTCCATAGGACCTCTCAAGACCCTCCAAGAATCTTAGGTTGGTGTTGGAGGTGTTAGGCTAAGAGGTAGTGTGCAATGGGGCAAGAACTTAGCACTTTGGAGCCAAAATATAGAGCCAAGGGGGAGATGTATGTGTGTATGCTTCAGCTAAATTTTCCAACCCTTGCAAAGGAAGATGAGGCCTTCATTTATAGACAAGAGGGACTAAAGCTTCTCCAAGAAGCTTCAAACCAAGGTGGAAGATCCTCCATACACGTGTATGGAGGATCCAGTCTGTGCCTCCCAGCTGGCACAACTGGAATCAACTCACTAAGACAAGACAGGAGGAAAGGGGCCGACCAGTTCAGGTGGTCGACCAGCCAGTTTAGGTGGTCGGCCAGCCAGTTCAAAAGGGTCAACTCAACAAAAAGTGGTCGGCAGCCCCATTTGGTGGTCTCCCAACTGAATGCAAGCTAGTGGTGTGGTAGGAGACCAGCAATTGTGGCCCAAAAATGAGGGAGACCAGTTACCTGAGAAGAAAACCGGCTGGCAGGGGAAAAGTGGTCTCCAAGGATAAAAGGTGGTCTCCCACCCTTGTACCACCTTCCAAACAATGAAAACAAGGTCCATGCCAAAAATGAACCAAGACGGATGCAAAACGAGGGTTCGGGGGGCAAAACGAGGGTTCGGGGGGCAAAACGCGCAGTCGGGTGCCCCGAAAACTGACTGTTAAGCATCGAAAGTGGCGTGCGACTATGAAGGTGGTCTCCCGGGCCACAGTGTCCCTCTAGAGAGAGGAAACAAGGTGTATGCCAAAAACCGGAGCAAACGGAGAAAGTTAAGCGGTCCCGAACCAAGGCGCACGGCCGACGGCTCCAAAAACCGGAAACTGGTCTCCAAACGGGAAAAGTGGCCTACGACCACGAAAGTAGCCATGGCCACTGAGAGATGGTCTACAAGACCTCTCATTACCTTCGGGAAGAGAAAACAAGACCTGGTTCGCAAACCGAGGCGAAGCATAAAAGGGTTCCGAGGTCCGAGGGTAAGGCTCTCAGCCGAAACTCCGAAATCTCAGAACGAGCACAACATGCGCAATCACCAAGCGCTCAATCGATGACGTTTGAGTCTTGAGGTTGGTCAAAAATGGGGTGTCTACATAATTCTCTTATTCCCTAATTCTATCCCTAAACAA